CTCACATCTCTATTTATAACAAACCTATTAGTTAACTACAGATATAAATTGTAGCTCACATTTCTATTAATTTTTATTATTTTAAATTAGAATAATTGAACTTGATTCGGTCTCCCATATAAGAATACAATAAATATTTCTACTAATATCAATCTATTTACAAATTAAAGAACAATACAAGTTTGTTAGTTTTGTTTATAAATTTCGATATTAAAATTAAAATTGCATTCTCTGTTTTAATAAATATTACTCTTATTTTATTGATTAATTTCAATTTAGTGATTGGTGTCAGATATTAGATATTACTGTGTCGTTCAAAAAAATTCTTCGGACCAATAATAGCCAAATCCAAATTATAATTCAGCAAAAAATTTCTTTACTCGCGAAAATATCATTTAGCATAAACTTAGAAAATATTTTAACTTGAATTTATTTATTTTTCATATTGATCAGATGAGTCATTCAGAGAAAATTCTTTGGCTAAAAAACCTGAATTACATCAATTAAATAATAAAATAACGATATTAACACATTTTTTATTTCATTGAGTACACTTAAAATGCTAATGCTACATTTATTGAAATCAATCGGCCAACTTTGAAATTTCAAACCTGAGAGATTTTTTTTTTGTTGATAAAAATTAATGTATTATTTTCTGTTTTCTATTACTCATGAAAATTTTTTCTTTTTATTTGTTCATCTATAAAGAAGTATTAAAATTATGTTAAAATCTAAATATTTAATTAATTAGGAAAAGAATAAATTCATTGTTTACGATAATGCTAATTGAAAGTTATTTATTCGTTAAATTCTTTGCATATTAAAAATAAAATTGTTAGAAAATAAGTTTAATTTTTTTTCTATAAAAAAAAAGGTAGGCATTTGTTGTATATAAAGTTTATGATATGTCACCCTTTCTTTGGGTCCTTCATAGAAAACCACTTGACAAACACCTGCTTATGTGGCTTGGCAAAAAAGGTGGACGCCTGTATCCGAAAAAGTTTTTTGCAATTATCTAATAAATACCATGCTCACCACTTGGGACGTAGATGATCTGAAAAAAGTTGCAGCTATATTTAACCATTCTCAAATTAAGATAGTCGGTATCAAAATTGGTCAGTTATTTCTGCATGAACATATTGCTAAAGAAGGATTAGTAGAACAAGTTGAGAAAATGTTTGGATATTTTCTAGATATTACATCTAACAGCTAAGTTGAATTAAAGAATTCAAGCATAAATTTGGGTCGAATTAGAGCGTAGATTTGGCTGAAATAGCATTAAGTTTGGCTGAGTTAAATTATAAATTAATGTGAGCCGAATCGGAGTATAAATTTGAACGGAATTAAATAAAAAATTTGGGCAGATTTAGATAATTATATAAAGCAGCAAAAAATTGGGCCGAATTAAGCATAAATTTAGCTGAATTATAGAGTGAATTAATTTTGGCCATGAATTTAGGACGAATCAGAGTTTAAATTTAGCGAATTAGAATAAAAAATTTGGGTAGATTTAGAGTATTAAGGGTAGAGTGTACGTAGATCATTTTTCATATGATCTCGATGGTACATTTTTTTTGTGTAACAAATTACATAG